CAGATCGCAGCCCCCCAAGGGGCGACGAGGTACCGAGGTGATCCGCGCGGGGCCCACCTCCGCTGGGCCTCCCAGGAGCCAACGAAAGTGGCGACAGCTGCGCAGATCGCGGCCCCCCAGAGGCGGCGAGGGTACCAGGTGATCCGCCTGGGACCCACCTCCGCTGGGCCTCCCAGGAGCCCACGAAACTGGAGACACTTGCGCAGATCGCACCCCCCCAGGGGGCGGCGAGGTACCACGGCGATTCGCGTGGGACCCACCTCCGCTGGGCCTCCCAGGAGCCCACGAAAGTGGCGACAGTTGCGCAGGTCGCAGCCCCCCAGGTGGCGGCGAGGCACCGAGGTGATCCGCGTGGGACCCACCTCCACTGGGCCTCCCAGGAGCCAACGAAAGTGGCGACAGCCGCGCAGATCGCAGCCCCCCAAGGGGTGGCGAGGCACCGAGGTGATCCGCGTGGGACCCACCTCCGCTGGGCCTCCCAGGAGCCCGCGACACTGGCTATATTTGCGCAAATCGCAGCCCCCCAAGGGGCAGCAAGGTACCGAGGTGATCCGAGTGCGACTCAAATAGCTGGGCCTCCCAGGAGCCCGCGAAAGTAGCGACAATTGCGCAGATCGCAGCCCACCAGGGGGCGGCGAGGTACCGAGGTGATCCGCGTGGGACCCACCTCCACTGGGCCTCCCAGGAGCCAGCGAAAGTGGCGACAACTGCGCAGATCGCAGCTCCCCAGGGGGCGGCGCAATACCGAGGTGATCCGCGCAGGGCCCACCTCCGCTGGTCCTCCCAGGAACCCGCGACAATGGCGACAATTGCGCAGACCGCAGCCCCCCAGGTGGCGGCGAGGCACCGAGGTGATTCGCGTGGGACCCACCTCCGATGGGCCTCCCAGGAGCCTTCGAAAGCGGCGACGACTGCCTGATCGCAGCCCCCCAGGGGGCGGCGAGGCACCGAGGTGATGCGCGTGGGGCCTACCTCCGCTGGGCCTCCCAGGAGCCCACGACAATGGCGACAATTGCGCAGACCGCACCCCCCAGGGGGCGGCGAGGCACCGAGGTGATCCGCGTGGGACCCACCTCCGCTGGGCCTCCCAGGAGCCCGCGAAAGTGGCGACAATTGCGCAGATCGCGGACCCCCAGGGGGCGGCGAGGTACCCGAGGTGATCCGCGTGGGACCCGCCTCCGCTAGGCCTCCCATGAACCCGCGACAGTGGCGACAATTGCGCAGATCGCAAGCCCCCCAAAGGGCGGTGAGGTACCGAGGTGATCCGCGTGGGACCCACCTCCGCCGGGCCCAGCAGAACCCTACGAAAGCGGCGACAGATACGCAAATCGGAGCCCCACAGGAGGCGACGAGGTACCGAGGTGACCCGCGTGGGACCCACCTCCACTGGGCCTCCCAGGAGCCAGCGAAAGTGGCGACAGCTGCGCAGATCGTAGCCCCCCAGGGGGCGGCGAGGTACCGAGGTGATCCGCGTGTGACCCACCTCCGCTGGGCCCCCCAGGAGCCCGCGAAGGTGGCGGCTGGCGCAAATCGCAGCCCCCTCTGGGGGCGGCGAGGTACCGAGGTGATCCGCGTGGGACCCACCTCCGCTGGGCCTCCCAGGAGCCCGCGAAAGTGGCGAAAATTGCGCAGATCGCAGCCCCCCAAAGGGGCTGCGAGGTACCGAGGTGATCCGCGTGGGACCCACCTCCGCCGGGCCTCCCAGGAGCCCACGAAAGTGGCGACAGTTGCGCTGATCGCAGCCTCCCAGGGAGCGGCGAGGTACCGAGGTGATCCGCGTGGGGCCCACCTCCGCTGGGCCTCCCAGGAGCGATCGCCGCAGACCAACGGCTCGAGGGAAGAGGAGAAGGGAACACAGGGAACAGGAGAGAAGGATGAGGGGAGGAGAGGGGGAGGAAAAGGAAGGAAGGACGGGGCGACCACCCTGCTCTATTCAAAACGAATACCCAACACAGGAGGGTTGGAAATAAAGGACGCCCGCCGTGCGAAATGTGTTCGGAGAAAACCTCAGGACTTGATGGACGGCACACTGTCCTCTCAGCAGGGCCGCCCTGTTCACGGGAAAGAGTTGCGCCAGGTAGCTCAGCGCGCACAGATCGGCGCTGTTGTAGAGGAAGGGCCCAGCGCTGATGGGGGCGCCAGCCTGAGGGGATATCGGTGGATATCGACTACCACTTGGCGACCGCATCTTTCCATGCGAAAGTCTCTGAGGCCCCGGGCCAAATTGGGCTCCGCGGCGATTCGCAGAAGACGCGATCATGACATCGTGCCAAGCAAAGACCTGGGCCCTAAAGAAGCGCCGACTTTGGGTTGAGACTGCGTCGGGAAACTCCGCCCAAAAAGGTACTGCGACGACCTTGTCCGTCTGCGGCTTGAGTTTCGGCGGCACCTCGGCCTCTCGAAACGCGGGGGCGATCCTCGTGGGGCCCTCCAATCTGGCGGGCAAGGCCCGCGTCGCTCGCGCGCCCCAACCGCCCCCTGAAATCCGCCGAGACTCTAGTCGGCCGCTTGCTCGACCAGAGGCCCCAGAACGGAGCCCGTTGTTGGGCGGGGCCCAAACCGAACCTGCCAGAGGGCAGCCCTGCATCGCTCTCGACTGGAGGTATAGCAAGATGTTCTTGTGCGAGCCCTGAACCGCCGCAAAGCTCCGAGGGGAAAACGCGAACGAAGCAATGAGCTGTAAGCGGCTTCGAGGGATGCCCGAGCGAGCAAGAGCCGACCAAAACCGGTCGTGGCCCAAGCGTGGGAAGGCAGCAAGTATGTCGCATGCCGCGAACACTGGCGCGAGCTCCTCGGCATTCGGATGGACAGACATTCGGCTCGTGGCGCTGTCGAGCCGAATTTCGCCCCCGACGAAATTGCGCCCCGGGGCAACACCTTGCCGGGCCACACGGGTCCCAGCCTGGACAAGCGCCACGATTTGATGGATCACTGCTGCGCCTGAGATCTCTGAGCCAGCACGACCGAGCGACGGCGGCATAATCTGCGAGGGCTTCCCAATGCATTTGCGCGCGTCAATGACGTCGTCACCCTTCGGGGGGAAGGCGGGGAGGGTCGCTGAGATCTCCTGGAACGTGGGCGCCTGATAACAAGCGCAGCACGAGGCCGTGGAGGGCCGAGGGCCAAGCCTCGGAGGCCATCCAAACTTAGCATGGGAACAGTCGGGGCCAGGGGGCGAACGCCTAACTCTCTTCAAGGTGGCTCTGAGGTCCTCCATGCTGGGGGGCGCTAGCGGAGCTCTTGGGCTGCTGGGCGCACCTGGTCCAGGCGCGCCTCGGCGGCGCTCTTGTAAACGGGGCATGCAGGAAGACCTTGCCCCAAAGTCCGGCAGGGCCTGGTGGGTCTCTTCGGGGTCTCTCTTGGCGGGGGATTCCGAGGCCTCGGGCGCGCGTTCTTTAGGTGTGCGCAGGCAGAGCCATAATTCAATCATGTTTGTTTGCTGCTATTTGTTTGGTTCCGTCCGGCGTTGTTTTGTTTTGTTTGTGTTTTGGGTGTTTATATGTATATATATATATATAATGTGGGGGGATCTGTCGCGGTCGATCGCCCGGGGGGGTTCGACTGCTGCCCCGGCGCGGATCGCCCCCGCCACAGTTCCTTCATCAGGGGAGCTTAGGCGGTGGCTTTTCCCGTAGGCGCCCCCGCTTGCCTGGAAAAGCGCGGGGGGCCCTGGGTCGCCCGGGGGGTTCCAGGACGGGTGGGCTCGCCCGGGGGGGGGGTCGGTCCGAGCGGTGGGGTCGCCAGGGGGGGTCTCCGCCGCTCAGTTCGTGCACGAGTCGCCTGGGGTGGTCTCGCACGGGAACAGCCCTCGCGAATCGTCCAGGGAGGTTCCACGGAGGCGAGGTAGCCTGGGGGGCGCCTCAGAGGACAGTGCACGGCGCGAAAGATTCACGCGAATCTTTCGCGGGTGCTCTCGCGAATTTTTCGCGGGGGGCCTGGGCTCCCGCGAATTTCTAGCGGGGGGCGCAACGGTCTGGGCGGTCGCGCAGGGGGGTGGGGGCGAAGAGGGGAGGAGGGGAGGAGGGGGGGTCAGATGCCAAAGCCTCGAGGCCCACCTGCGGGGCCAAGCGAGCGACGGACGATCGGAGCACGGGGCGGCTAAGGATAGAGAAGGGGGCGAAAGATCAGAGCCGGAGGGGGGCGCGAGCGGAGCGCCGAGGAGCAGGGGCGGAAAGAAAGGGAGCCCGGTTGATCTTGTAAAGCCAACTCGCAATATGCTCTGAAATGGAATGGGAACGTGTGTCGGGAGGTGGGGAGCATGGTGTTTGCAAAGGTGTACGTTTAGGTTGCGCCTTGAGTATGCGAAATCTTACCACACCGTTGCGATTCTATGTGCGCTCCTGATGCTCACAGGCGAAACGAACGCGTGACAGTGAGTTGCAAAGACAAACGCGCACGCACATGCACGATTGTCAAGATATGAGCCCGTCTCAAGCCCACCCGCGCATACCAGACTCAAGAGGCGCTGAGCGGCGCACAAGACCGCACAGTCGAAGCAAACGCTAGACACATAGTTTCGGCACCCCTCTGGCAATCCTGACCCGAAGACAGCGGGTCTATGGGGGGGCGAGTCGGAGAAGCTCGTCCTCTTTCCTATCTTAGCCCTGGTCCCGCAGAGCAAGAGTCAGCAAGAATGGAGACGAGGAGGGGGGAGGCGAGGGCGGAGGAGAGGTAGAAAGAAGAGGGGGACGAGGCGGAGGAGGAAGGGAAGGAGGAAGAGAAGGGAAAAGAGGAGGAGGATGAGGAACAGGATAGCGATGCATCTCTGCCAATTCCCCACTGGCGGCGATCCCCCGCCGATCTCAAGTCAAAACGCACCGTCGATGGGGGCCTCGCCACTGAGAATCACAAGCGTTATTGGCGTCTTGGCCCCAGGAACGCTTTTCACGACGAATCCAAAACACCCTGCACTGCGTAAAACTCCCGACGGGCCCCTCTCGACGGTCCCCTCTCGGCCTCTCGACGGGGCCCCTCTCGACGGTCCCCCGCAGGCTCGCCGCCTAGGCAGCCTGCGCGCTCTGCTTGGCAAGCTTCTTCTTGAGCTCGCCGTCCCCAGCGCCGACGCTCGCGCCCGAGGTCGACTCAGGAGCGGCCGCCGCCACCGTCGTCGTGTCCTCGGCGCAAGCCTCGCCGCACTTGCTGCGGAGCTCGACGGGCAGCTTGTCGAGGCCGACCTTCAGGAAGTTCTGCGTGTACTTGAGTGCAGAGCCGACTGGATTCTTAGCGCCCTTGCCCTCGTTCTTCCCTGCGTGAGGGTCCGCCATGTGTTTCACCACGGCAGATGTCACGACGTTCATGGCAGCGATCTCGGCCGTCTCTTTCAAGATCGCCTGGTGCTCCACCAGGCGGTCGACGAACGCCCGAACCCTCTCGTAGACGCCGCCCTTCGCGAAACTCATGATCGTGCTGACGGTCTCCGCTGTGTTCTTCCAGGTCGGGTACTGAACGACGAGCCCGTCGATCTGCCGCATGGTGGCGGCCTTTGTAGCGTCATCCACGCTGCTCCACGGCGTGCCTGAAAAGTCCCAGGTGGTGATGGCATGCTTGATCTTGCCGAAGTCCTTGACGAACGAGTCCGTGATGTCCAGCACCTTTGCCTTGGCCTCCATGGAATCGCACAGACGCGTCCACTCACCCATGATCAACTTCCACTTATCGTCGAAAGACGCGTACCGTTGGAACAACTCGGGGCACTTTGATTTTGCATGGTTCAGATCGCGGAGGACGTTGGAAACCTCGACCAATCCGCCCGCGAACTTGCCAGAGGTAATCTTGATGACGGTATCGGCGCACATCTGCAGCGCGATGCCACCCTTCGCCAGGTCCCCAGCTCCAGACGGAAGAACGCTGCCCGAGTTCAGCAACTGCCCGATATCCTTGTGTTTGGCTGGGTCTGCAGCCACGAAGGTGACCATATATGACATCATGATATCACCAAGGCTCGTCACGTCGTCCAGCTGCTTGGCGATAGTGATCAAGCCCTTGCCCTCAGAGCGATCCCACGCCATGTTCGCGGGCGACATGGCCCCTACCTTGAGAGAAATCTCCCTCTGCAGCACCTTTGAGAACGCCGCCAGCGCGTCACTGAACTTGGCCGTCGAGCCCGCCGCAGGCGACGCGATGGAGCACAGGTCGATCAATATGCGAATCTTCTGCTGGACGTACGCAAGAAGCGCGGGCTTGTTCGGCCAGACGGTCACGATCATATCGATAAGTGAGCCAATCCACCTTAGATCCTCACAGTCGAACTGCTCGTCCTGCGAAGACGGGGTCTGGCATTCGACAGCTGCCGACCTGGCAAAAGAGTGGAGTCTAGAATGGGCCTCCATCACTGCATTGGCATTGGCCATTGACAAGTCGAATACGCGGAGCAAGGCCGATGCAATATCCTCAGTCATCTTCCTCTTGGCAGCATCGCCTTTGTCGTCGGCCTCAGCCGAGCCCTCGGAGTTGCAGTAGACAGACCCGAGCGCATCCAGCAGGTCCTTGTGGTCGTTGTAGACGTCGACAACGGCCTGCGAGGAAATCAAAGCACCAACAAACTCTCAATTTTGCCGCCTCGCATCCCCATCCTGCCGCATCCGCCTCATCGGCTCGTCCGTTCTATTGCTCCTCATCCTGTGTCATCGTGCGTCTTACTCTGATCGCCATCGTCATGATACGTGGTCGTGGTCAGTGTTCGCGTCGGCCCCAGGCCCCCACGGCGGCACGCAAGACCCTCCAACAGGGCACCAAGGGCGCCTTTAGGGGGCACAGTAAGACCTCGGCGACGAGGAGGGACCCACTGTAAACATCTGCCACGCGTCCCCTGCCCCTGGGAAGGCCAGAGGACACGCTCACTAGGGCCCGAACAAACGCTCCCTTAGCACATGGCCGGCACCAAAAATGCCCCAAGAAGGCCTCGCAAGGCCTCGGCGACAACGAGAAAACATCCCGAACTATCTAATATCACCACCCTTCCCTGGGAGAGACCCTCGGAGGGAACCCTAAGGCCTACCCCAAGGGGAGCTGATGAGACGGTCGCGATGGAGGGAAAGCGCGCAACACGCTGACCTGATCATCTCGCCCCCCCTTCCCCCGAGGACCCCCGCGCCAGCCCGTGACGGGGCCTCGTAGCAGGCGTCCCAGGAGCCCACCTCGAGCGCGAGCGCGGTCTCCAGCGTGCCCTTCACCTGCTGCATCTTCTCGGCGTCGATGTGCTTACATTTGTCGGTCATCTCCTTGGCCTCAGCATGAATCTGCAGCATGCGATCCCAAGCTTGGCGCCCATGCTGCACCTGAGCGCCGCAAATTTGGCGAAAGTGAGCTCGCAGACGGGGGCTCAGTCTATTCTTGCACTCCACCATGGCGCAGATCTTGGAGACCGTGTCGCGGGGCAGCGTCGATTCGGAAAGGCTGGCTTCGAGGCATTTCCCCATCAGAAGGATGCAGCACATGTCGATCTTCGGCTGAGCGAACCAGGATTCATCATCGAGAGCGTCCCCATCTTCGGCAATCTCCCTGGCGTCCACGACGCAATCGCCCACAAGTTCCGATAGCAACTGGCAGCAACGGACGATCCAATTCGCATCGCTGTGCTTCCACAGCCTCTCGGCCAAGCTCAGCACAAGACCCTTCTGGCACTCCGACGCTATCGACTGGTCCTTAGCAAGCAATCCGACGCTGAATCTCTGCGAACGTGGCTTCGCATCTGCGACGCTCCCGAAGGCGGTCACGACGTCGCACCTGGCACCAGGGGCAGCGCACATTGAATTCAAGGCCTGGTTCAACTCAGAAGTGATAATGGTGCCGAGGAGGTCGATGGGCGCGCCCTTCAGAGCATCGACGTGATCCTGGGACATGTCCTCCATGGCAAACTTCACGAAGTTGCCCCGCAAACTCTCGAAGAGGCTGCTCCTCTTCTCCAAGAGTTCGCGCGCGTTGAACAGCTGCGTGCTGACGTCGGCAGCCTCCGCGTTGGCCAGGACGTTGCCGCACTTGCGGCCGTGGGTGTTGAGCCTCGTCAGGAAGGCGTCGGACTCGCGCTTGCGGAGCCTTCCCTCCCAGTGCTGCCGAAAGGACCACTTCGACGACGCAATGGCGAGGACCTCGTTGGCAGCCGCAACGGTTCCGCTGGCGGCCGTCTTGCGCTTCTCCAAACTCTTGCCTCCTCCGTCAGGCGATCTCGAGCCCCTGCGGCTCCCAGCTGCCGAAGCACCGCTTCGAAAAGCGCGATCGCGCTCCTGGTCGCACTGGAATTTCTTGCTAAGTGGGTGCTCATCGCTGGCGACCCGCTTGTCCGCCGAAAGCTGCCTCTTGTGGGAAGGCATCCTCAGCGCCTCTGGGGTGGAGAACTTATGGCTGTTGGAAGCGTTGCTGCCCGCCGTCCACGCCGCGGAACCTTCGGCGTCGGAGTCTGCCAGTTCCTCCTCTGCCGCGGCCGCCCGACCCCAATCACCTGACGCGATCGGAGAAGCTGACGGCGGCCTGGTGCCGAGGACCTGCGCCTTGGCGTGCTCCATGGACTCCCTCGCAATGCCCTTGTCGGCGTGATCCTCGCGGCGCTCGAGGTCTGCTGAGGTCTTCGTGCCGCGCCTGAACCTCTTGTGGCCAGGCCCATGGTCTGGGATCTCAACTCCTGCTGGGACGTCACATGTTGCTTCGATAATCCGCCCATCCCCGCCCCTGGCGAACCCTGGCAGCCCATCGAACGAAGGCCACGATGGAAACCTGGACCGCCCCAGAGAGCCTGCCCCTGTGCTCGAGCCCCGTGCCTGGGATATCCTGGAAATGGTTTCGAACGGATGAGCGGGCATTGCAACAACGTGACGTCCTAGCGTTCCGCACCCGTCGGGTGCGATGTCAAAGTCGGGCCACTTCTGCTGGATGAACTCGCTCAGCTGGTCCTCCTCGCCGCGCTGGAACCCCTGGATGTTACGGGCGCGCGCGAACTCCCACAGCTCCATCCACGTGCCCTCGACGTACGTGTCGCCATACACGCTTTCATTCTTTACCACGTGGCTGCTGGCAACCATCTTTTGCAGGTGACTGTACTCGGTTCCTCCTGAGGCTCGGTCGCGCCTGAGGGCGTAGTAGTGGTCGTCCAAGTCCTTGTTATTCTCCCTCTCATTGGTGAGGTCCTTCAAGCTCTCAAGGAAATACCTCCTCCTGGTGCCGAAGCACTTGGTGCATTCTTCGCCAGCAGGCAAGCAGGTGCCGTCACTCCTCCAATAAGTTTTGCTCCACTTCAAGTAGTACGGGTCGCTCGGGGGGCTGTCCCTGTCGATCTCGTGAGTGTTCTGTTTGCAGGCCGAGCAAAACTTGGGATCGACGTCGCCCCACTCGTTGACGGGCCCATCGGCCTGCGCCTTCCCCTTGGGGCCAGCCTTGGCCTTGGGCGGCTTCGCGACCTTCGTCGCAGGAGGAGGCCGCCTCGACGAGGATGCGCCAGCGGTTTTGCCCATTGCCGTGCCTCGGAATGATACCACCGCGCAACCAGAATTGGCCGTCTCTGTGAAAAGAGCCCCCCTGTCGCTCGACGGGGGAACTCGCTTCGGAAAGGTTGAGCCAGAATGACCAGACGGTGGCAAGATGCCCGCGAAGCCACTCCTGGAGCCTAGGGCCCCTAGGGCCTGGGGCTCAGGCCGTGCCTGAAGTCTAAACTGTAGCCACGCTCGGAGAGCGAGGCCAGCGGAAGGCCCAGGAGGAGGAGGAAGGAGGGAGGGGGGGGCCTGGGAGGACTCCGGGAGCAGAAGGACGCAGGAGGAAGGAAGAGAGGGGGGGAGGGAGGATGGGAGAAGGGGCGAGGGAATAGGCGCCCCCCCCCCAAGCCAAGACGCCAACACCTAGAGGCCCAAGAACGGCGCCAGGGAACCGCCCAATACCCAAGACGGCCCAGTAGGCTTTCGAGACGGGCTCAGCTCCAAGATGGCCCCGAGATGCTCAAATGTGGCAGGGGGCCCAAGCCAGCGCGAATCATGGCCCTTAGTTGATGGATCCTTGGTGTGAAACTCGCACTTGAAAAAGCGGTTCTGGCTCTTGACGTTGGAGTGCCTTTTATGCCATGCCATTCTTAGGAGCCAAGAGTAGTTGCCGACCTGGGGGGGGGGGGGCAAGACGGACCCAACATTGCTCAACTATGGTCCGAACGTGGCCCAATATTGCTCAAGAATGCCCTGGGATGGCCCCGATTGGGGAGGCGCGGCGGCCTTGGTGCAAAGAGGTTCCCCTGATCTCTTGTTATTGACGTTGGAAGGCGCCTGACGTGACACCAGTTACTTTGAGAAAACGAATGTAAGAACCGATCAGGTGCCGAAGTAACTGCAGCATGGCCCGAACATATCGCAACGTCGCCCCATGTTGACTTAAAATGCGACGAATTTGGCCCGAAGAAGGCACCGCCTGCATGGCCAAAGCCGCCCACCCCTCCCCCCCTCCTCCCCGCTTGCACATGTATGTTTTGGTTTGCGCGCGTGCGTTTTAGGCTGCGGGGGGGGTGGTGCAATGCGGCTCTTCCTCTTGACTTTGGGACGCCCCTGGTTTGACGCCACGCCGAACAATCGAGACTGAGGAGCAGATGTTGGCGCCACAGTTAGCTCCAAAACAGCCCGAACGTATCCAAACGTGCCCCGCGATGGCCTGAAGATGGTGTCAGGATAGCGCAAGCTGGTCCAATATGTTACCAGTATTGCTCCTTCGGGAAAGCTTGGAAATGCAGACCTGCTCTCACGCTTGACTTTCGAGGGCAACTGTCGCTCCACCCTTCTGAAGAGACCAAGGCAGCAACCGAAGTGGGAGCCACGGCAACCCCAAGATGGTCTCTACATTGCATCTATTCGCACGCATGGCGGCACTCGCGTCAACATCAAGAAAAGTCAAGCCCCTTTCATCGACATGCAGCACGCATGACATGCAACCCGTGAAATGCAAGTGCAGATTCTCGGTGTGCAATTTGCGATGTACAATTCGTGAGGCACGTAGCTGGGCACGCCGTCGATCGGGATTGGCGAATGGATGACACCACTGGTCGCGGGGGCATCGTCGCCACCTCCCCTGGCCCCCTCCCCCTCCCCTGCCCCCTGCGACGCCCTGCCTGCGCGCCCGTTGACAAATGCCACTGCAATTCTCAAAACCTACAGGCTGCCCTGAAATCAGCAATGGATAAGCTGTAAGGGACCCTTCGGGACCCAGCAGTGGCAATGCAATGCAATTTGCCATGGGCGCCCTCTTGCGTCCCTCTGCGCACTCCTGCGATCAACTTCCAGCTTCAAGAAAGCTCTGCTCTGGCTCTGAGGGGGGAGGACGCGGGGGGAGGGGGGCATAGGAGTCAAGCGGAGCCCCAAGAGGAACAATGAGAAGGACCCCTTGCGTGTCCAAGACGGACCCGCTGCCCACGTTGGGCCCCAGGAAGCCCCGCCCAGCTGCCAAGAAGGGGGGGAAGGGGTTTTTGGCAGCAAGGGGCGGGGCCCCTCCTCGCTTGGCCCGAGAGGGTTGCCATCGCCCCGCAGGAACGATGGGCGCAATAATCTAACTAATCTAACTGACCTCATGTGCCACCGTGAACCGTTGGAACGGGAAGCGCCGCTTTCGAAATCCCGTGGCCCATCTGAGCATCAGAACCAGGGGGGCTTACGCAACCTGGCGCCGCCCCCTGCTCCACAGATTCATACTGCAAAAGCAGAGAAGACGACGACCGCAAGGATACAGGGAAGCGCGAAATGATGCCTGCGCTGGCGAGCGCCAAGCTGATCATCCTCGACCCCAGCCGAAGACCGAAGTAGGTCTTCGGAGCTGGCCAAAATAAACCTAGTCGGGCTAGGCCCTCGGCTGTCCTCGTCCTCCACGCCCCCCTTACACGTCCTTACCTCCGCCCTCGCTTCATCTGCTCTTTCTCCAGTCCACCCCTCCCCCTGTTGAGCTGGCTGCGGCTGCCCTCTCAATACTCGTCCTTTCACTCGCTCTCAGAACCGCTCAGCTGCTCGGCCACATGCACTTGCTGACAGAAAGCACCGCGTTGTCGTCGGATGTCATCATGTTGATGATGGTGTTGCTGATGCCAGTGAAGCAAGTCCTGAAGCTCTTGATCCTGCGGTTGAGGTAACGAACTCTGATGCTATACACGCGGGGCGCTACCATCATCATCCTGACGCGCCTGCGGGCTGCTGGATGGAGCCTCATGACCCACCTGGGGCGGGCGATGCGCCGCTGGGGGCGCTTTGGCGGCATCGACTGCACTTGTATGCGACGGTCCGAGGCGGGGGCGGCTGTCCGCAGCGCCTCCAGAACCTCGGGCCACAACGGCAATGGAGGCCGAGCAGGGTCGACAACATCAGAAATCGAAAATGTCGATGACCGTCCATGAGCGAAGCGCCCTTGTCATCGGAAAGAGCAATTAGATAGAGGGAAGAACGACTGGGGGGGGGGCTGGCACAAGGGACCCTGTGGGAACTTCCCCAGAGGAAGCAAAATCTGGGAATATTGATTCCCATTGTTTTGTGTTAATTTTGGGGGGGCGCCTTGGGCGCTTCTGGGGCCTCTTCGGGCTCTCTTGGAACTGTTTTGGTACTTTTGGCGCTCTCCTTGGACCCTTTGGAGGCTCCCCCAGACGAGGGAAGAGATGGTAATATTTTATGGTGCCTCTTCGGGCTCTCTTGGAGCTCTTGTGGGCCCTCCTTGGGCTTCTTGGAGCCCTTTTGGCCCTCCCCTGGGACCCTTTGGGGACTTCCCCAGAGGAGGGTAACTATGAGAATCGTGATTCCTTTTTTGTGCGTTTTTGGGGGGGGGGGCGTCTTGGGCTATTCTGGGGCCTCTTCGGGCTCTCTTGGAGCTGTGCTGGGCCCTCCTTGGTGCCTCTTGGAGTACTTTGGGCGCTATCCTTGGACCCTTTGGGGGCTCCCCCAGAGGAGGGAAAACATGGGAATCATGGTTCCCATCTTTGTGCTGGTTTGTGAGGGGGGGGGTGCCGTCTTGGGCGTTTCGGGTGCCTCTTCGGGCCTTCTTGGAGCTCTTTTGGGCCCTCCTTGGGGCCTCTTGGAGCCCTTTTGGCCCTCCCCTGGGACCCTTTGGGGACTTCCCCAGAGGAGGGACAATATGGGAATCCTGATCCCCATCTGTTTTGTTTTTTTGGTGTCGTCTTGGGTCGCTGTCTCACTTTTTCGGAGGCGACGGCAAGGCTGTTGCCGCGTGCCTTCAACCAACAAATATCATTAAAACCACCACGCGCGACGCGTGTCGACGTGACAGCAGCTTAACGCATAGGCGCGCAGCACAGGAAAGCCTCACCTGCGCCCAAAGCGACGCCTCCGAACAAAACTAAGCGCAGCTCGGGAAAACCTAACGCACACTCCAGAGTAGAGAGTCTAGCCACGGTGCGCTCGCTTGTTCGGAGGTTCACCGCTGTCCTCCTGGGCGCACCCGGCTGATGGCAGCTGCACTCGCATGCTCGGGGTCGGGGCCACGCCGCCTGGGAAGGCTTCATCTGGAGTTGATGGGGCTGATGGAACTGCCGCAGGCTGGCTCTCATCGACCTCGATCGGTGGAGATGGCGGCTGCGCTGAAGCGGCTAGGGCGGCTGAGGCGCTGGAGCGGATGAGGCGAGCATGTCCTGCAACCACCTCTGCGGCCACCTCGCGGGCTTCTACTTTCCAATAGCTCTCGCTGTCATTGCCGTGCAGCTGCTGTTGTTGTTGTTGCTGATGCTGCTCGCCCAACGGAAGCGCAGGATGCGAAGATTGGCCCATGATGGGCAAGGGCCCTGGGGTCGCCGATGCCGCCGCCTGCGAAGAAATTGGCTTCTGGCCCACGATGGTCAGCACAGCTGGAAGCTGAATGCAAACGTGCCGAGTAACACTCTCTGGCAGCTCAGGCACAGTCAAAACTATGTCCAGCGCCCCGCTGAGACTAACCTGGGTTGCTGCCATTGCTGCACTGCGTAAAGGAAAACGCCAGCGAATGCGGTGAAGCCGACTGAAGCGAAACAACTGCTTGCGCTGAAAACGGCACAACGAGACGGCAACACCAATGACATAAACGATGAATAAAATATCAAGGTGACATCATGCGCCAGAGGCACCAACAACCACACCTTGCAAAACGCAGCTGCGTTGATTGAGAGAGATTTGGGGTTTGGGGTTGGGGGATGGCGTTGCCGTGTCGCGAACAAAAAACAGCTCTCGATACAAAGATGGGTGCCGTGGCTCCGAAGATGGCCACCAGGGCATCGAAGGCCAGCCGCAAGGATTCAAACAGAGGCCCTTACCCATTTCGAGAAATCGCCTTTTTGAGGGGTGGTGTTCAAACATGGTAAGGGTGGTGCTCTGGCGCGAAAAACAGCTCTCGAAACAAAGATGGGGGCCGCAGCTCCGAAGATGGCCTCGAGGGCATGGATGACTGGCTGCAAGGATCAGAAACA